TAAAATGGGGCACAGCGTTAAACATTAATGTCTGCCTTTCTGGCAATAAATACACTACTGGATTTCCGTCAGGGGTAGCAAAGAATATCGGGGTTTAATATGACATACTATCTGCCATCTGTATTCTACATTATGTATATAGCCGATTTCTCAAGGCAGTTGCTCCATGTAGATTCACTGGCGTGTTTCGTTCTGCTAGGTATTTCAAGGTGGTTGCGATTATGCTTGTTGAGAGACAACAGCCCCCACTCACTGCAAATTACGGTTGCCATGTGCAGTACGCGATGCCAAGTGAGCACTGATTCCGTGTCTTGTCGTTAGCTTTCCAAACTACGTTCTCTGACTATTACTATATAACCCGTCATGACTTATCCTTGGTCGATCCTTGACTGTAGTTAATTCTTTCGGAAAACATGATTGGCGCAACATCTGCTTTTCGGTGTGATAACCGTGTAGACGTCACCATCCTGCCTTTTTTCCTGGAACATTTAAGCCGTATTTTTTGGTCCTTTATTCAAATCATTTCTTACTCTTGATCAATTTGATCATCTCTTAACTTGTAGAACGGTTTCGGATAGTTCTATTGTGGCCGACCTCTGCCTGACACTCTTCTTGCTATTTGGGACCCCTAGCTCACACAGGATTTGAGCTTTTCCTAGCGGGGAGTCTTGAGATGTGCTGCAGTCAGCACCATCATCATTCTGCACTTTAGCTAAATTAGCATTTGAAGTAAGTTGGTTAGCAACGAATCCCGATAAGGAAAAAATGTTCAAGTTACTTAAAAATGCCACAAACGCAACCAAGTTATCGAAGATAAGCGCAATTAGCGTAAGCAACGTCTTCAGTTAATAGAATATTACTCAGGTAGGCAGAACAAACCAACTAAAGTGGAACAAAATTTATCTAGCTCAAAAAGACCTAGTTTAAGTGTAAGGTGGTTAAGTCCAACTGCGGTGAAGAAGCATCAAGAATGCCATATCAGCCTCAGCATGGGACACTATATATATATATATATATATATATATATATATATATATATATATATATATATATATATATATATCCCATGCTGAGGCTGATATGGCATTCTTGATGCTTCTTCACCGCAGTTGGACTTAACCACCTTACACTTAAACTAGGTCTTTTTGAGCTAGATAAATTTTGTTCCACTTTAGTTGGTTTGTTCTGCCTACCTGAGTAATATTCTATTAACTGACCACGTTGCTTACGCTAATTGCGCTTATCTTCGATAACTTGGTTGCGTTTGTGGCATTTTTAAGTAACTTGAACATTTTTTCCTTATCGGGATTCGTTGCTAACCAACTTACTTCAAATGCTAATTTAGCGAGGAGTAATGCCACCATATGCGTATGCATTATTCCATTTATTTTATTTTATCTTGTTGTTTCAAGTAAGTGGCTGTTGCTTGATATCCCCGGTATGACTGCGCTTGATGTGCATGTTGACAAGGTGCCTGCCTATCTATTACCCACTACCTCGTCCATACTGGATCCAGGAGACAGTTGGTCGTTGCTGGAGGGGACGGGGTGCACGGTCCTTGTGGCCGTGTTAGGCTCGAAGAGTGGTTCCATGCCCTCAGTGTGGAGCGGACTACGGTCCAGCCACCGCCTTGTGTGCGCTTGATTCCCAAATACAGTGTGCTTGTGTTTGCCTGTGAAGGAGTGTGGGCCGGATCCGTTGGTGAAACGTGGCTCCCATCCACACGCCTCCCGGTCTTATTCCTTCGGGTTTGCACTGGATATGGGGTGTGTGGTTGGAGCTGTGGGTGGTACAGCGCAAGCCACGCATGGTCCCTCTGTAGGCGCAGGCGTCCTGTGGCTGACCACAGTGACAGGCAAATCCGAAACCGGATGCCGCCAACCATATTGGCGAGACAGAGAGAGTGGTCGGTTAGATTTTTCACACTCGGCATCGCTTGCTGTAATTGATGCCCTTTTTATGATTTTTGCCATGTTTGCTAAAGGCAGCAGAACAACCCCGAAATTTCTGTCGCATTCCTAATGACATCTCTGTCCCGGCATGTCATACTCCTCGAAACAATACTTGGGATACTTGCTTGAGAGTTTGAATTATTTTGTCGCCTCATTTTTCACCAACACTCGTCGGTCAGCAAAAACACGTGGACGCGCGTACACGCAACATTGCTGCCAGAACGTGAGACACCATTGTTGCACATGATTAATAAACCATTTTGTTTTTTTGTGCTCTGCCTTTTCGAGGCTGACTTCACAGCTTCTCAGTCCACATACCTCCGCTGACGGTTCTTTGGTAGCGGAGCATCGACGTTCTGTCAAAATTAAGCTGTTGCTAAATTTACTCTGGGTTATAATCTTGATCTTTCTAACTTAACCTTGGTTTGACCTTTAGCCTAAACATAGCATTTTTAATCGGAACAAAATTCATTTGATTTGGCACACTTCTGCTTATAGGAAGCAGTTTTATTTATACTGGGGGAAGAAAATTCCGAGACGCTGGAGCGATGAACTTGTCGTTTGCGGTTTCTGCATCTACTTGGATTCCAAGACATTTCCAGTCAGCTGCTTGAAAAATTGGTAATCGGTAGGCGAGGGATCAAGAAAGTATGGTAGGTGAGGCAAAGTTTCGTAACCCAGCTCGTGCGGCTTCCATAGCGTTGGTTGTGCAACGTGTGGTCAGCGTTATATCGTGGAGAATAATCGGCTCACTTCTGTTGACCAGTGTCGAACATGTGTTGAAGTTTTTGGTCGTTTCAGCAATTTATTGACAACACTTCTCTGCTGTAACGACTTGTCTGGATTCCGTAATTTGTGATGGATCAAACCAGCCGCCGACCACCAAACTATCACCATAACCTTATTGGTGCAATTTTGTCTTCCAGAAGTATTGTGAAGCTTGATCGTGGTCCAACCATTTAGTAGTGCGTCATCCATTGTCGCAAAGAATCCACTTTTCATCACAAATCACAATCCGGTCGCGAATCGGGTCGACTTTCCTGCGCAGAACAAGGGTAGACAACACTTCCGAACGGCGATTTCTCTTATTTTTATTTAATTCGTGTGGGAACCACTATCAGCGTTTTTCGACACTAATCTTTCTGTGAATGCTTGAAAACTGTCCTACGCGATACTGCTAAGTTAGCAGCAACATCTTGGGTAGTTTTACGCAAATCCTCTTCAGTTAAAGCTCTTACTTGTTCATTATTCACTTCCAATGACCGTCCGTAACGCTGTTCATTTTCAACACGTAACGTTTTACAATATTTGAAGCCACACTTGTGTACTAAAGTTATTTTTGGTCTCAAGACCAAATGCAATGTTGATGTTACGAGCTATTTCCGTTGCATTTCGACTAACTCTGAATTGCAACAAAAATATTATGTGAATTTGTCTTTTTGTCTGTTCTGTATTAAACGTTTTGGAAAAGTGTAAAAATCTGTTTCTGAGCTACACTATCATTACTGATAGGTAGAGTGAAAACACTTCAAAATTTTATGCGATATTAAGTCAACTTATTAAAGGGCTATTTAAAAATGGCTGTTAAAATTAATATAATAAAAGCCGCGATAGCTTTATCAACAATGTAATCCCATTTCGTGGTGAATCGACGTTCTCTAGTCTTTCCGTGATACCAAAACCATGGAAAATGTCACGCAAACTGCATCCACTGAACTGTGGCCATGTCCTGTCACTTTGATTGCCCTGTTCAGCACTGGACATTGCACCGATCCGCTTATATTTCCGCGGAGTCTACTGCTGCCCCCAATGCAGTTACCGCCAAACATGTCGCTTGTGGTTCCCAACTCAAGTGTCCATTTGTCATGTTGATTCCACTCACTGATCTGTTCCCGCGGAATGCAGTTTGATGGTGCCCGGTGTTATCTTCTGTTGTGATTTTTCACTCACTGACAACGGGGAGCGTCTGCCCCCTTCAGCGTCGTACTTACCCCATCTATCTGTTCCTGATGCTTCTACTGTGTATATTTGGCACGCTTTTGCACCTTACACATTCGTTTCCATTATCTGACAAGTACGTTTTCTTCCCCGCTCCAAAAATAGTGTGGAAGGTAGGCATCTAAAGGATGTTCATGTGAGATCGACCGCTTTTGACTACCGAGTGGAATAATCAGATACTATTAACTTTATTCTACCTCTCAGGGAGAGTTGGGCTCCTTTTAAGTCTGGTTAGAGAGCTTGTTCAAGTGGTATCTCTATTTGGGAAAGAAGCTGTTTTCACCTTCCTTGTTCTACAATTAACACAAAAGCTGCTGGTATGTGTGCATTACTCAGTCCAATATTTTGATGATCTGCGGTTTCGGGATCGTTGTTCTGCCCTTTATATGTGCGAGCTTAATGCTCAATCGTATGTTCAGCGCCGGATCTGTGTCCTCTACTCAATCTACATCGGTCGAATTCTTCAGTAAATAATGCAACCTAAAATAGGGACGCCCTCAGGGACTCTCTATGATACTATTTTAAATGATAGGTACCTATTTCCGGTACCTCTCAATCATCCACCTGACCGGAAACATATGATCACACAGCTTTTGATGCACGTACCAAAAATGACACTCTCCCATTATTTACTTTGGCCTTTGAGTATACTTACGCAATTTACCTAGATACTTGAAACGAGATTCTGCCACCCAGCTCCGTGATTTCAACGCGCATCTTTGCAGCTCACTTCCTGGCCTGACATAATACTACTGCTTCAAGGGTCAGTAGTTAAACCTTTTAACAAAATGTGAGCCGCCCTGTGTATCGTCCGTTCGTTTTTATTGACGAAGTCTGTGGCTGCCTTTTGTTGCTCCACGTGGTTGCAATAACTAAGCGCATTGCTCGAGTTTCTGTTAATTCATTCGCGTCTGGTGACACTTGGTTATTCTCCAAAAATGCACCTCACCGACGGATCACCCCGGTATATTTCCGCTGACAACAGTATGCGTGTTTGAGCTTTCTAACTTTTTTCCTTACAGCTGATCCACCTCATTTGCTCTTGTCTAGGACGCAGATGTACTCCAACCTGCAGTCCCGTCTGCGGGCATATCGCTCAACACTTCCGGAGATTTCTGCTGCACGAGACACATGCACAATTAAGGATTTCTCTATTTATAAGCCGCGCACTTCCTTTTGTACACTGAATGGGAGGACTAGTTACTCCGAACCAGGCAAGGTATGTTCTTTTGCAGTTACTGAATCTTTTCTGAATCTGAACTATACTGAATCTGTTCTTTTGCTCTTGCGTTCATGGTCTGTCTATACTTTGTACTACGTACATAATTGTAACATCCTTCTGTAATTTCTTTTGCGCACACCGTTCTTCGTCGCTTCTGTCTACGTAAACCAATATCGACACAGTACTACCTGTTTCACCCTCCGGTTACTTGCTATGGATCACATCTATTGTTCAGATTTTACTCCGATTGTTGCCGTTTCATTTTCAGCCTGTCATACATAGGCTTTGCGCTCCAAAGTAGCAACGTGTATGTGTTTTTCATTACTCTCGCTTCCGATTTCCCCCTCGTTTGGATTCTAACGTACCGAGTTGACCGGGTTCCGTGATCGACAATTGCAATAGCGGCTAAGAACTCACTTTTCGTTTCAAACTATTCTCTGCGCATTTGTATTGGGACTTCGGTTTACTTTTGATATAGGATGGTCATTCTGATCATCTAGACGGCTTCCAAAATGGGGAATTTCCCGTATTGCTCTCTTTCTCAACCTAACTCCCCAACACCAGGACGTAACGATACGGATTGGCGGTGAGGAGCTATCAACCAGGAAGGACTTAGAAAGGATTGTTAAAGTAACTTTAAGCCACTGACATCTGTTCATGTTTGATCAGGGATCACACAAAAGGGTCAAAAGATGCCCTGAATCGTGATAACAGCAAGCGTTACCAAGGGCACAGAAACGTTGGGTTTGAGGTCACACGACCAAGGCAGGTTGGTTGGTCGATTGGATCCCAGTCAACAGCCGAATGTGCGCCGTTAGGTTGGCTGGCTCGTTCCAGGCTTCGAAGTCGCACGTGGACAAACGGTGCCTGTTTGTCATTGCGGCCTACGCCCCTACAAACTGTAGCTCCTTCGTTACTGTAGAAGCACGGATACTGTGGTGCTGGTTGGTGATCTAGACCCCCAACTCGGCCAACATGGTGTAGACTCCCGTAATGATAACGATGAGCGGTTGCTACATCTGTGTGAAGATGCTCGACTATTTCTCATGAGCACTAACTTTCGACACTGCATCCGCAGAAGAGTGACTTGGCGCCCACCAGCCTCGAGCCAGCCATGGATGCCAATTGGTCACATTGAGATTACTTACTGCTGGAGAGGCTGTGTCCGAAATTGTCGCTCGATTTGAAGCACCAACGTGGACTCCGATCTCGCTCTTATATGTGCCGACACAACGTAGCTGCGAGTGCAAAGGCACCAGCCGACTGGTGAAGCCAGGTATTCTGAATGCGTATCAAAGTACGCTGGCGTTCGGGCTGAGTAAGCGCCCACTGAACACCATCGAAGATCACTATTTGCATATTCGCTAAACGTTACTATCATCAGGAATGTCCTCATGTGGCAAATCAAATAGCCAACCTGGACATTGGGTCACTACACAATTTCATTAACGCAGAGAGAAGACAGAGGTTGCGATATGTCAACATTTCAAATGTTCTCTTCAGTCGCAAGCACAATACGAACAGAAACACACAAGGGATTATATACATCGGCCTCTCACGTTGTTTAGCAATTCACCTGCGATTGCGGTGACATTTAAATAAGCAGAACAAACCGTCAATTAGCTCAGAGGGTAGCTGAACATTTGCCAAAGTGGTTGGGACAAGTGATTACGCAACAACATGGGATGAATCTGAGAATCAATCGGAGTCCGGCATCGTCTATCACCAGGCACCTCATGACAGCCCGTCATCACGTGAACCCCGAGACAGCGTTCAAAGTGTTATTACGTAACAAAAACCCGACAATGCTGGCAATTAGTGAGGCGTTGTTAAATAAAGCCTATCAACCTGTGCTATGTGCACAGAAACTCTTGGGGCAATCAATTCTGTTGCCATGGTCTTGACTGTGACATTTTGATTAGTGATGCTTATTTTTTCCATGTATATAATCCCTTGTGTGTTTCTGTTCGTATTGTGTTTGCGACTGAAGAGAACAATCGAAATGTTGACATATCGCAACCTCTGTCTTCTCTTTGCCTTAACGAAATGGTTGAAGGTGACCCACTGTTTCACTACACAATCTCTGAAACTGCTGGATGCTTGCCGATGTATTCAGACTGGAAGCGAATACAGTGAGACTCGTAAAAATCTCAGGGCAAAACTTTGTGCTAGCCTAAATAGATGTCGCGAAGCCTGGTGGTCACATCGTGAACCGGAAATTGAAACAGCGGCTCCCGTTGGTAATCCTCGTAAGTAATTCCGTCTGATACGGAAACGGGCAGTAGGAGACCTGGTGTTAGTGAAACTGTACATGATGAATGAGGACAGCTGATCCCCAGCCTGTCAAAGCGCTTAGAGCGTTGGGCCGAACACTGCAAGGCAGTTTAACCAATCTGTTATCACTTTCTTTTTCTGGCATTAAGTGCCCTTCTCCCTGGGCAGTATCCTTGGATCTGATCTCACGCGCAGATGTCGAACGTGAGATCACGCTTTTGAGATTTCATAAGGCCACAGGAGCAGATAGAATTTGTCAGCCCTCTTCAAATTCGGAGGACCTGCTCTTATAGATTATTTGCACGAGTTGCTAGTGAAACTAGCAGCAGGAAACTGTCCTGACGGACTGGAACCGCTCCGTCATAGTCCCAATTTTCAAGGGACGCTCCCGTTCGGAACGCGGCAATCATAGAGGGGTCAGTCTGGTCACAATTGCCTCTAAATTGCTTGCCTCTGTTGTTCTCCACAGACTGACTGGCACTAGTGAAAGCCAGATCCGTGAAGAGCAAGCAGAGTTTCGTCGAGATCGTGGCTGCATCGACCACATCTTCACTTTGCGTCAATTGTTGGTGCACCGGCATGTTTATTGGCAACCCACTGTTGTCATGTATCTGGACATCAAGGGTGCCTTCAATTTGATGGGTTAATGTGCCCTTTGAAACTGTCTGTTGAGGGACGGTGTGCCCGATAAATACCTAAACATTATCAGGGGACTGTTTGCGCAAAGTTCGGGCACAGTGAGTGTTTGTGGCAAACTGTCGCCGTCCTTCCATAGATCGAGCGGCGTGAGACAAGGATGCCCGATGTCACCCCTCTTTAACTTCGCCATTGAGGAAGTCATGGAAACGGCGTCCGCTGGACACGACCTACATGGCGTAGAGCTGCTCCCAGGTGGCCGACTTCTTGATTTGGAGTATACCGACAACACTTATCTTATTTGTGACAGCTCATAAACGTACCCAACAGTACTGGACCGATTAGCACTGGCTGTCTATCGTTTTGGGCTATACTTTGATCCATCGAAACGCACAGTCCTCCGAGATTGGCAGGGGCCCACCCCTGCGCTGACCCTTGGTGGGGATGAGCTTGAACTCCTTCAGTAACTCAAATACCTGGGCAGGTATATCAGCGCCCGTGGGATCGAAGATGAGGTCACGAACCGTATGAGGAAAACTCGAGGTGCTTTCGCCAATCTTCGCCACCTGTGGCGCGGACACGACATCACTTTCTCTCTGAAGGGTAGGGTGTATCATGCAGCCGTCCGTTCAACCCTCTTATACGGTTGTGAAACCTGACCTATCAGGTCGACAGGCATAAAGAGGCTAGTCACGTTTGAACATCGCTGCCTTTGCAGCCCAGCTCATGTCTGGTTGGAGCAATGAGCGTGTTTGGCGTCGGGTATTTAGTGCAGCAAGAGCGAGTGAACCGCTCAGCACCATTATATCGCCCACCAGGCTCCGATCGCATGGCAGTACACTGACTCTTGCGACGTGGATAGTTTGCTCGCCGGGGGTGGGGTTGGAAGAGGAAGAGAGGAGGCCAAGCGGTCACTTGTTCGAGCGAAATGAGAACCCTCGCTTCGAAGTTGGCATCGGTTGGTGCATCCTGACTGTCTGGGTGGGGTTCTAAGGACGATGAACAAGTTTGGTTGGACACACTTGCTGATATGGCCAAGGGCCGACGTTTGTGTTGTGAGTTCCTTTATCAACCCCCTCCCTTTTAGTTTCACCCTCCAGTTCTGTTTTCGTACGTAATGCATAATATAATATTTAACATTATATTACTTGCTTTTGAATTCTTTATGGTCCGATATTTTAGTATCTTATCTTTTTGTATTGCGGCACATTAGCTTAGGTGTGTTCCTCACACTCAGCTAACGTGTATCGATGACGACGACTCAAACAATTTGCTCTACATGCTACCTTTAGCCACTGCCTTATAATTTCTTATGATTCAGCAATGAAAACTTCCACCTTCTTTTGTGGGTAGTAAAAATTGTAAATCTTATCCGCGGTAGGATGACAAATACAGACGTTTTCAAAGTGTTGTTTAACGAATTTGGAGGTCAATTTGAGGTGCTCTTGTTCCGTGCAGTAGTACGTTGGTTATCAGTGGACAAGGTGTTGCACCGAGTGCTGGCACTTCGAGAAGAAACTGCTCTTTCTGGAAAGGAATGAACTGCATAAGGATAAATAGGACGGGTTACACACCATAATAACAGATAAGGTATTTCTTTCTAAACTGGTATATCATGCGGATATCCTCAGAGAAATAAATACCCTGAACCTTAGCTTGCAAGGAAATATGACGAATATTTTCACAGCTCAGTTTGAGGCTGCCAGTTTTCTTCGCAAATTGCAGCTTCACCAACGCTGCGCTGGTGTTGACGATGTTTCGATGTTCTCAAACCTAACTGCGGTGCTGGTTGTAAGAAATGAAAGATGCACATTCACAGATCAAGTAAATCTGCAGTTGTCATCAGTGGTACATTTCATCAGCAATATTTTCCTGGTTTTGAACATCGCCAGATAAATACTTGGGTGCTAATCCCCTTTTCAGTAAATGAAGGAATATTTCCAGCTATTGAAATCGAAGCCAAGACATAATTCCTTGGGATTCGTAAGGACAACATGCTGAAAATAAATTTCCAAAACACAACCAGCAACATTTTGGGTAGAGATTGGTTGAGAATATCCATTTTTATCCAAAAAATGCCTTGAGAA